CTTTTGATGCAGCCCAGGATACAGTTGGCTTTCTGGGCTTGCAAGTGTACACTGAAGCCGGCTCATGTTCATTTTCTCATCAACCAACACCCCCAAATCCTTCTCCACAGGGCTGCTCTGAATCTCTTCCCTGCCCAGCCGGTGGCTGTGCCTGGAATTGCTCTGACCCAGGTGTAGGACCTTGCACTTGTCATGATTCATTATTTAAAAAGATAGCTGATTAACTTAACAGGGAAGCCCTCTTATCATACTGCAGGCAGGATACACAGCTTCATATATGCTAGTTCTTCATGAATTTCTCTGTCTCTGGCAGAATTTCTGCAAAAGTAAATCCACTTGTTGACGCGACTAGCTCTGGAGGTGGAACATGAGATCACGAGGCCACCTGCCTGCTCCGTGCTCATGCCCAAAGTCGTGTTCCCCTTCTGTGATGTGCCTAACCCAGAGTACCCAGGGTGGTACACACTCAACAGATCTTTAGGTTCACCCAGAGATGAAGAATTCAGTTAACATATTTGCCATGCAGGGCATCTAGTTGTGCCCACACTGGATAAGAGTGAAGCAGCAGAAAGGACTCTCTTAGGAAAAGAAGGGTAAGCACCACCTTCAGCCAAGACCCTTGGGCTTCTCCCCCATCCATCCCTCCTGGTAGCAATTCAGAGCAGTGCAGTCAGAGGATAAAGTAAAATAACCCCCCTGAAATAACAACTCGCTTCACTGCACAATACTACCTCCAGGTGGAAGATGAAAAGAGAATAAGCCAGCAGTGACAGATGTTAGATCTTTTACTGTACTGATACTGATTTTAGGGAGATAAAGATAGCATAAGAAGCCTTACTGAACAGAGCAAACCATACATCACCTAAAGCCGTATTCTTCCTGCTTTGAATACCATATTTAAGGCAGAGAAAAAGATCGTTTACAAAGACTAACACACTTTCCTGATCCCCCTCTCTTTTTTTGCTTACCGTGAGCCTATTATACTGTGGTTTTTTTGTTGCTGTTTTAGCATCTTCTGTCTTCAGACTATCCGTGACATGAACACACACACAGAAGAGCCATTCTGCCTTTAAGTAACATTTGCCAAGGGTTGGTTTTATGGATGACAGGGTTTTTATAGGGCAAAAATTCAACATTTGAGTTCTCATTTCAACTATTCAGTGACCTACTTTACAGAGAGGGGGCAAGGGGAGGGCTGCTAGGGGATTACTTCAGGTCCATTTATATAAGATACTCGGGACACAAATCTGTGCCTTTCCTGCTGAAAGTACAAAATGACAAAGAAAAAACATTCCTGCTAACCAAGTGCAACGCCGAGTATGTCAAGAGGCTGGCATGTCCCTTGCACTACTTATCCCTTTCTAATCTGCTGAAGGGACAGAGGAGACCTAACCATATCAACCCCTCCTTATGAGGTGACAGTCCCTCCTGCCTCACTTGGGGGCCCCAAGAGGAACTTCATGCATGTCAGGAAGAAAGAATTCTCCCCAGATCCAGCAAATAGACACATAGCGCAATATTAATATATCTGTGCAAGTCCTGGCATTTGGAAAACACGTTAGTGCCTAGGCCTTATGTTCATAATTACCACAGCAGTACTGAATCTTGATGAGTCAGTAATGACCTTCAATAGCGCAGAGAAACTATTTCAGCTTCCACTTAATCAGGTAACAAAGTCACACAATAGGCAGAATTTCTTTTAAGGTGCTAAATAAGGCTGATCCTAAATGCTGTTTTTCTTCCCCTGTTGTGATTTTCCTGAGCATCACAGGACAGTAAATTTGAGAGCTGACATAATTCATCACTGCCTGCAGAAATTGTGATGAGATTATAGGTACAGCCATCTAATGGATGTTTCCAATAAATCCCATCTATTTCCCAAATGATTCCCCAGCAAGTACAGACAATGTAGCAGTTACTGCCTGCCAGATGGACAACGCATGACTGCACAAACATCACTGTCCACTTCATCCTGACAAGCAGGTAACAAAGTTTGCATGCCACCGCCATCCATCATGCCAAACTCAGCCTCTTATCCTCTCAGTTCTTCACCTGTAAGATGTGTATTAATACGCATGAAGAACATGTTTCTTTTGGTCAAAAGACAGGCTGTTCCCTTGTCCATGAGTTCACTGATTAGTGTTTCCACTCCTACAGTCTTCATGGGATAACTGAGGCAAGAAGGGAGCTCAGGAGGTCTCTAGTCCAAGCCCCATATCAAAGCATGGCCAGATATGAGGTCAGACCAGGCTGCTCAGGGCTTTATGAGGTCTTCAAAACCTCCCAGGATGGGGATCCTACAATGTCTCTATTCTCCCACTTGGATGAGAAACACTTGCTCCTTATATTTGGCCTGAACTTCAACTCATGCCCATTGCCTCTCACCTTCCCAGTGCACATTGCTGCAAAGAGCCCAGTTCCATCCTCTTGATACTTCCCTTGTAGGCAGGGGACAGCTGCTGTTAGGTACCCCAGGGCTGCCTCTTCTCTAGGCTGGATAAGCCATGACCCCCCAGCCACTCATGATCAACTTCATGGTGTTTGCAGGACTTGCCCCAGTTTGCTGAAGCCTCTCCTGCATTAGGAATCCAAAACTGGACATGATATTCATCAGTCTCCCTTGCTGCTGCTCATGTCCACTCACTGCCTACCGGAATGCCGCAGAGCTGCTCATTAGCTAGGCAGCTCCTGCCTGTACCACTGCAAGGGAACAGCCCTCCACAACACCCCAAGCTTATTGCATTACTCCAACACAGTCATTCTGAAGTTCAGTTAAAAAGTCCATAACATTGCACAAAATCATTTCAGCAAATAAATCATTCTGTTTTATACTTAGAAAATTTACCAAAAATAAGTAAAATATTCAAGGATCCCTGAACAATAACACAAACAGAAAATAAGTAGCAAATAATAAAATAGGAACTAACTAAACTAAATGAATTTAGTGTTTTCCTCCTGTCTCTCAAGGCCTTTATATGTATACTTTATGTTTCAGGGTGGAACACAACAAAAGTGAACTGTGTAAATGTTGACTGCTTGTTCACTTATACACACAATTTTTGACTCTTTATCAGTGAATTCAACTCTTTGCACCTTATTTTCCATACACACTTCATGCCCATGCTATAAAAGGCAGTGCTGAAGACTTCACAAAACTCAAGGCAAGCAGCTTTCCTTTCCCTCCCTGTGCCCACAGAGACAGTCTTCTTTATCTCAGCAGGAAAAGAGGCTGGGTCAGGCACAGTTCACCTTTGATAATCCATGCTGGCTGTTTCGAGTCACTTCCTGGGCTTTCACATCGGTTGACATGCTTTCTAGGACAACATTCTCCATGACCTTCCCAGGCAGTAAAGTGGGGACGACTGGCCTGTACTCCCATGCATCTCCTTCCCTTCTTGGAAGATAAAATTTCATTTTTTTCCGGTCTTTCTTGGATCTCCTTAGGTCACTATGTCTTCTAAAATAATAAAGTAGTCTTAAAGTGACACCGGTTACTTCCCTCAGATACCTGCTATCCAGTCCCATGGGCTTATATAAGTCCATTTTACTTAAGCGGCCCCTAACTCAATCACATGACTATACTTTCCAGGCTTCTATGCACACCAGAGGTTAGTCCTGCTTCATCTCCCTGTTGTATATAACATTCTTCATGAAACCCTTTAAGTGGGCAAACCCTCCAGATTCAGTGATGTGGTGCTCAAGTGGGATATCATACTGAAGATGGAGCACAGGATCTTCTTTAAAATGTAAATGATAATTTACCATGAAAGTCATAAGAGAGCTGTTTAGATGTGACATGTACTTGGCAAAGTATTAGTGATGTGAAATTTGGAGAATAGAACTCTGGATATACTCTTTGAGGCAAAAGTGTTCATTTAATCTTTTTGAAAAAGTAGAAAGCATATACTTGACTGTGTGTGGTAAAAAGGGGTTAGAAGACGTCTATTAAACATTTTTCTTCTATGCTATAAAAATGCTTTCCAACGTGTTCTTTGTTGTTTTCTAAATGACATGCACAGCGTGCCTCATCTCAGTGAATAACAAGCACAATCTGAGGAAAAGCACAGCAATGGTTCATATAAAAGATGATTTGGATACTAGATATATTACTGACACTATTCTGAAAAAGGAATTATTTATTTATTTTATTTTTTTTTATCCTTTTCTATAGAAACCAACCAGCAACAACTCATTTCTTCTTGGCTGTAACTAATTCTTGGGAGAAAAGAAATTCTGCATTCAGAATGTTTTCTTGTTAATTTTATTAACATGGACTACCTCAGTTATAAGTCAACTACTTGGGGGAAAAAGTCAACGAAATCTATTGGTTACAAACCAATAGATTAGTAACAAGGTAAAGACAAGCAGGCAATTACTACTGCATTACACATTCCTGCTCCATAGCACAAAATATTATCAGTCAAAGCAATAGCCAAGGCTCTAGCTCATCAGAGACGTTTCAATCACTGATCTGGAAACTCACATAATAAATACATTAAACTTTCTGCCTACTGGGAATAGCATGATTCACCAACATGTAATATGTAATTTTTAAGAAAAAAGAGCTCCTTCCTCCATGCTTGGTACTTGCTGTAGCTGGAGGGATTCCGCTTGGTTAACACAGCACCCTCCTGTTTCTCCTTGTAAATTCCTACTATCTATTTTTCATTACTCTGGATGACTTGAAGACTTAAATAAAGGCCAAAGTCCTTTTTGAAGTCTTAAATGAAAGCCAAAGTCCTTTCATAGAAGTAATAACTTTTCTGACAGTAAAAGAGAACATGTCTGGGTAAATCAGACACTAGTGTGTTCTTGGGAGAGTGCGCTAACTGCCATTTTCAGGTTTCTGTCCTTTAATCAAAGCAGCTCAGCCCCTTGATCTAGGATCTGCTTGGATATCTTTGTGGTGAGAAGCGTTCTGTGTATACACCCTTTTTTCCTGAGAAAGGCATAGGCTGCCTATATCCAAGTTAAACTGTTACGAAAGAAAGCCTCTTTACCTGTACTGCTGGAGATGTTGACATCAATGCTGATATCTGATATGCCACCTCCTTTCAGAGACGCAACACACGTGTATGTCCCAAAGTCAGTGAATTTCAAGTCAATAATGTCCAGGTTTGTGGTGCCTGGTGAAACATCAGGGTCAGTCTGTGTAATAACCATCCTTTCAGAGCTCCTCAAGGGACGTCCATTCTTAAACCAGCTGAATGTAAGTTCTTCAGATGGGATGGCTTCCACCTGGCAGGAAATTTTCACCTCTCGCCCAATCTGGATGTTGTCATCTTTGTGATATGGGTCAGGGGTAATCCAAAAACGTCCTTTTTTTAAGGCTAAGAAATAATAATAAAAAAAAGTTTACTATAATAAACTGTGATTTATGCAAACTTTGCAAAGGCTTATGTTTCACTTTATGCCTACATATGATTTTAATAGGGTCTGTAGCAATAGGACAAGGGGTAATGCTTTTTAACTAAAAGCAGGGAGATTCACCTTAGATATAAGGAGGACATTTTCTACAATAAGGGTGGTGAGGCACTGGCACAAGTTTCGCAGAGAAGCTCTGGATGCCCAATCCCTGGCAGTGTTGAAGGCCAGGTTGGACAGGGTCAAGCAATCTGGTCTAGTGGAAGCTGTCCCTGCCTGTAACAGTGGGGTTGGAACTGTATGAGCTTTAAGGTCCCTTCCAACCCCATTCCATTCAATGATGCTCGGGAAGTCACTGAAGCTTCTAAAGCACACATTTAGCACATGGTTCATTTTTTGTGGGATCAAATCTAAACAAATACCATCACAGAGTATACATTGGTAAAGTACCTGTCATTTCCAGAATGAAAAATAGGAAGTCAAAGCACCTAAATGAGGCTGAGCTGCTGACAACTGAAGAGCAGCCAAAGTAATTCATGAACCTTCAGTGTTTGTTACCTGTCTTTAGATATATTTACAAGCCCTTCTTCACCCTTGTGCTATCAGAGCACTGAGAAAGAAGAAAATATAGATATCAATCTAACATCACTAATACAAACAGTAGTGTCATCTCCAATCTGTCTGGCAACAAATACAGCCGTGCAAAATAGCTCTGTGGCAGCTGGTTAAATGAGAATAGGCAAGCACATGCCTGAGGCTACAGCCTGCCCTGGTTTACATAACCTGCTCCTTCTCTGTTGCAGCTGGGAGGACTCCCTTCATCCCACAGCTGTCCAGAGGCTGGCTGCCCTACCCCACCAAATGGCAGATCAGTGGTGGACAACTGCATTGCCTTATTTAGGTAGGGAAACTGTGGCAGTTCTAAAAGGTAAGGGGACTGAAAGTACATTTTTGGGCAGTGATCAATGGCAAAAAGATGCTCTTGTGAGATGTAAGCACAGAGTCCATCACAAGCATCTTGCTTGCACTCCCCTGGCTGGATCTTGCCAGATGAGGAAAGCCCACCCCAGGCTCACAGGAGAAACCTGAGGCCGAAGGCTGCACACACAGCTGAGAGAATAACATAATTTGGAGAAGCACAGTATATCTGAATGACCTCTATCTCCATCCAAAACTATTCAAGCCTGCTATACAAAATTAATTCCCTAAATTCTCTAACACACAGCCAAGCAAAGTTAAGATAGTCTCAATGTTTCATATGGGAACCCCAAGGCAAATGAATTTTTTGAGTCAATCTCAAATGCAGGTCCAGCATTCAGGAGTACCCTATACCCATGCAGGGGCAGAACAACTCTGGAAGATGTTACTTCCCACCATCTTCCCAGCAAGACCAACATCTTTTACTAGCATTCCTTCAGCAATCTACTGGACAAGAGCAAAATAATACTGCAACTCATCTGATTTTTCTTATCACTCTTTACATGAGCATAAAACTATACAGAAACTATCACCATTTACATCAATAAAGTGACTGCTCTAAAGCAGTGTTGCTATGATACTTATTTTTGGAAGAGTGCTTCAGAATCTGTCATTAAATCCTTCAAATACACATACATTTTGATATACTGACACAAAATTGTACTTACACAATCACAATATCTCCCCCCCCATATGTATATATGTGCGTAAGTATGTATGCATGTTAAATATATGCTATCTCCAACTAGAAAGTTCCATAATGAAAATACCAATCAGAAACATTACAAGCAAATACCCAGGCTGAATGCAAGCACTGAAGACAAATTTAAACCCATCATTTCTTGTTGTCATGCTGACTTCTGTTGAAGAGTTTCCCTCATTGCCCTTTTTTCCCCAACCCACTTTCTGCCCCCCATCTATGCACAGTGCCCCATATGTGCAGCACTCTTTTTTGTCCTCAGATATCTATATGCTTACAGCAAATGAAGTCTGACACTGTTACAAATGGCAAAGTCTATGAGCTGAAAATTCCCCTGAATCCCATACTTTGAGTAATACACACTTTTCACTTGCTGTGTACAGAAAGTGTAACAACATCAAATGGAAATAGATGTATGAGGCACCAAGCAAGAAAGCACAATGCATCAGCTCCTTGCTCTATGAGTGCTGAAAATGCTAATTCAGACTCAGTTTTGTTACTACGTAGCTTGTTGAACAAAACAACTCTTTGGAGCCCACAAATGCCAGGCTGAATCAGCACTTTCACAAGTTTGAAAAGAATTAACATTTAATTAATAATTAGTGGGTTTTTTCAATGTAGGAAAAGCAGTATAAAATTGGGCTACTTGTAGACAACCCCTTACACATGGCGTGAGGAACTTCTTCCACTGAGGAAGCCAGCTCTTTTAATCAGAGAATGAAAATATACTGTATTTGCTGTACTGATTAGGTATGGCATGAAAGACACTTGTCTGGGTGCTGCTATTCAGTTGTAACCATGTATTCAAGAATCCAAGTTGTTGATATGTTCTTAAAAATTTATTATTTCATTTATTTAAGAAAGTTTCATGACTTTTATTAAGATTAAATTTTTGCACCAGAATGCACTAGTCTTCATCAAGCACATCTTGCTCCCTTTTAAAAGCTGCAGCTGGATCCCCAGGAAGCAGAACAAACATTCACAAAGATGAACCATACATTATATGACAGCTGGAAACACACACAGCAAGTAACTTCGAAACTTGAGCTGAAATATTTTGTTTGAAAATGGAAGAATAAACAATGCTTACATACACAAACACCAATAATTATATTATGCAAATAGCTTTCAGACAGGGAAATAAACCCCACAACTTGATAGGCATGATGAGCAGCACATTTAAACCAGAATTAGTTGCTAGTAACCTCAATAAACTATTTTCATTTCTGATTATTTTCTTCTTTGTTTTGAGTGCTCACACAGATATTTCAGCAGTTTCTCATTCCTGTAAAGAAACAAAAAGGTCTAATGGAAAAGTCACACCAACTTTCATCTGTCCTTTGTTACAGTTAGTGCTACAATAATGTCTGCAAGCTAAGATAAAGGGTGTAATTTCACATCGCTTCAGAGTCACTAAGAGGTCTGGTTTGGGGGAATGGAGGAAGAAAAGGAATAGAGCAAAGTGAGTTTTTCCTTCACTTCAGAAGTTCTGGAAACTTCCTGAACGTTTTCCAGGTAGTCTCAGTTCTCCTCTGAACTCCTTTATTTGGATGTATGGAAAAATACTTAGCTCAGGTGTATGCTTTGCACAATTCTTTCGCAGTCAGATTACACTGTAGCAGGTCAGGACAGTGGATGATCGAGAGACAGGACATGCTGGGGTGACCCTGCTCAGATCTTTGAACAAATGGTTATTACGGCAATGAAGGGCCCAGCTGAGCTAGTCTCAGGTGCAGAACCAGAAGGGTTGCCCTTGACAAAATGACATGGGGTCAGCAGACCTCTCCAGAGTGACTGCCTTCATCAGGCTTGGGAAGACAAAGCCATTTCTTGCAGGCTAGGTGTAGTCTTAGAAACACATAAGCTAGATGTGGTCTCCAAAAAGACTTAGACGTGACTGATTTACATTGTGTGTGACCTCTTGGGAACACCTGAATTGAACATGGTAATGGAAAAGTGATTTCTGTATGTATTCTGCACAGGTTTGCATTCACGCTCAATCTCCATGAAACAGTGTTTGAATTATCCCCATCTTTAAGTACTTGGACCGTAATTTCCAGCCATACCCCTACATACTACCAACTATATTGAAATCTGCAATGGATTCTGACTCTCACTTTTCACTGTATTATCAGTTACATTTGATACATCATTTGAACTTTTCCATGGGGTTAGATATAGTGACTAAAAGAGACACAAGGTTAACCAACAAAATGTGTGAGATGGTGCTGCAGATGCTAACCACAGCTGCTTCCCAACAGAGATTTCAGAACATAATCAACACACAGGGGCAACAAAATGGCAGCAAACATGCAAATAAGTTTGTAACTGTACTCTGAGACTCAGGAAAGTGCCACTCTTTCTCCAAAGAGGCCCCAAAGAACTGTGATTTGATTGAATAAACAAAGATGAAACAATTATTGTCCTCAAATTCCTCGCAAAACTGTCTTTGTCCTCCCCCATTAATTACATTTCAAAGCAATAAAATGCATTTAATTATCTCAATTAACATCTATTTGTATTCATCAGGTTAAGCTGTATCTTCCCATCCCCACCCTGATTCAACTCCAAATGCGCCTTTTTAAAGCATTAGAATGTTCATATTTTGTCAATGGACATTTCATGACATATGAATGGCATTAAACATCATAACTGAATACAGTAGCTGCAGTACTATTTGCATGTTTGGTCATAATAACTATTGGCTATTGGCTGATTCTTAAGCTGACATAGAGCACTGGGGAATGCTTGGCTTTGTGTTTGCTGATGTTTGTATCTGTGTGTAGCCGCAGCAACACTAAGTAGCAGATCTGTACTGATTTTAACCTTGACTGGGCAGTTTGATACCACATGAGGTCCAGCCTCTGTGCACTCACCAGAAGAGGCTTTGCCTAATTTTGATTGTTCCCCTTCATATTTTGCTAAGACTAGTGAGTGATTTTGTTTTAAGCAGTTCCTACTGAACAAGGTATGAATGTCACCTGAATCTGCCATGCAGACGTAAAGACCTGCCTGTGCAAAGCCCAGCATAAATAGATCTCTGTACTAAATAAAAAGTCATTCTCACTGAAGACTCAGGGAAAACTTCTTTGATATTTCTTCCTTCATTAACATGTATACCACTATCACATCCATTAAAGCAAAAAAAAAAAAAAAAAGTTCCTATCATAAGCTCCAAAGTCTTTATTTTGGCCATTGGCAACAAAGGTACATTGTCTTCAGTGTTCTACAGGATATTGCCTTTAACTGTATTATCAAGGAGCTAAGCTGGCTAGAGATAATTTAACA